GAAAAGCACGCCATAATCCCCTAATCGTATCATGAAATATCAATGACATATGCGTAATACATACTCCCGCTGTAGTAATGTTCATAATAATACCAAGTAGAGAAATATACGATATTATCAAGGAGAATATACATATGAAACGAATTAGGAAATTCAACAAATGGAAATACTTGAAGTGATATAAAACTTACTGGACATCCTATAGCTGGTTGGGTGACATAACATCATGTAGCAGTGGATCGTAGTCTTCCCGGCGGGAAGCGGCGTGTTTGGGCTAGTACCAATAGGCCTCACGTGAATGTTGGGAGTGAATCAAGGATTTCTTGTGCATGGACTCTCCCGCACTCATTTTTTATATCTCTTCCTTTCATTCATCTCCCCGTGCAACATAAAGATAACAGAATAATCAAGCACGTTTTCCCCTTGAGAAGCGGGTGCATATTCTTGATGATATCGCTCGTACCAGCTATCTTTTCATCTGAAATGAGAAAGTATTCGGATGCTAATAGTGCCAGAACATCGTTAGGAAGCATAGTATCGCAGTGTGCAGTGAGTGTCCTGGCTGCCTGGCACCGAGTGATAGTCTGCGCATCACTCAGAAAGCCACCGCCAAGGGCTTGACAGAGAAATTGTGAAAAACAAAACAAAAAGGTTCACTCAGGGGAGCAACCTCCCTCTCCTCAGAGGAGATGGTTGTGGCAAATTTTGCTGCAATGGCGTCCAAATTTAATGTATGACCTTCACTTACTGTCTGAAGCTGGTACGGCCGATGTGGAATGCCACACATGGGATGTATAGTAACTTGCAAGCATATATAGAGTGATGTGCGCAGAGTATTGAGTTAGAAGAAGGTAACTTCCCGGGGCCAAAGCCAACGGTACAGCTCTGGTATAAGATCACTAGGGTGAATCGGGGATTTCTAGTACATAACGTCTCCTGTCCTCACCCCGTATGTTGCTTTCTTCCTGTTTATATCCCTATACAACCTGATGAATTCAAAATAACCAAGCACGCTTTCTCCTTCAGAATCAGGTACATATTTCTGATAGTATCCCTCATACCAGCTATCTTTTATCTGAAATGAGAGAGCATTCGGATACTAATATTGCCGGAGCATTGTTAGAATTCACGGTATTCTGGTATGTAGTGATGGCCTGGCATCAGGTAATAGTACACGCATTACTCCGAAAGCCACCCTTGGGACTGGATAGAGAGATCTTAAAAAATCAAGAGGCTCACTCGGGTGAGCAACCTCCCGGTTTGCCCCACAGTTTACGGATTGGATAGTGTCTAAAGAAAGTATTAGGAGAACAGATTACGAAGTCCTGTATGAACTTACCTCTGGCCTGGTTGAAGCTCAATTACGGCAATTTTCCGCGCTACACTACCGCTACAAAATTGGTGTTTTGCAGAAGAAATCTAAAATATGCAATAGCGGCAATGGGGCAACCATGTTGTACTGTACTATAGAACACGGACCGTGTCGGAGGTGGGGGAGAGATCATCGTTGATACTGGCCGAAAAGAGAATGCTATGTAGCTAAAATGGAAAGCCTATATTCCAAGCACACGAAACAGGACTACCGTGAACCCAACTAAGTCAAAACCAGTACATGGCCTAAGTGTGAGTAGAAGATACTGGAAATTAAAAAAAGCTCAGCCAAGAAAAAAGAAGAAACTAGGCAGGAAGAAATACTCGGAAAATAATAGGAAGCCAGGAAGAGGGTAAGGAAACAG